ATATATATATATATATATATATATATATATATATATATATATATATAAATAAAATTATAATTATGTAATACTAGTACTAATAATAATAATAATGTCAAAGAAATGGGCTAACTGACAAGTCCAACAAGTTACAGATAGGCCAGTGTGATGAAGAAAAATGGAAATAGTAAATTAGTTGTATTTTAAAGCTTTAAAAATAATGTTTTTGGGTCCAGCCCCCAGCCCCCCACATTGCGCCATATTGTTTTATAAATGTCCCATTATTTTCAATAAAAAAAGATGTGAAGTAATTATCGAAGTTGTTCCGGATTTTCATAAAGATATTTTAACTTTGTGTCTGTCCTATTATTCCAATAAACAATTTTGAATAGATATATACTGTTCAAAATTGTTAAGTGGGGTAACAGGACAGTTGCAAAGTTAAAGTGTATTTTTGAAAATTCGAGACAGCTTCAATGGTGACTTTATGTCTTTTTTCTTTTCAATAACCATAGTTTATATATGCTGGACATTCATATAACTATACAACGTAATAAATAAATATGCCTGTTAACTTGGTCTCATTTTATAAATGTCCTCTAATTTAGGATATGTACAAGTAGACACTTAAACTTGTATAAATTTGAATAAGTAGACTACAAGAAAGCTATGAATTACATGGGGAATTTCCAGGGGATTAGTATGAAAATAAGTATCCTACTGATTTCCATACTGATCCTGAGGAAAATTCTCATGTAATTCACACCTTTCTTGTCCTATGTGACATAATACACGTAGGACACAAATGGTCATGTAGGACGTGTATGTCTATTTGTTCAACTTTGGGGAAAATGCATAAGTATCCCCCAACCTATGCCCAAAATTTCAGAAACACACTTATACTATACTAGGTCCTATTACCCCGAACTTATTTTATTAATAATTTTCTATCTCTTTTCAACATACGTGACACTATCAACCGGATAACTTGAAAAAATTGTCAGCACGCGTTGAGCTAGAAGATAGTGCCACGTAGGTCGAGAATGAGTAGAAAATTATTTATACAATAAGTTCAGGGTAAAAAAAACCTTAGTATAGTATACGTGTGTCTCTGAAATTTCGAGCATAGATTTAGGGGTACTTATGCATTTTCCCTTCAACTTTGTATAAGTTTAAATGTCTGTTTGTACACACCCAAAATTGGACGGCATAAATGTAAAATGAAACCAAGTCAAAGGACATATTTATATATTATGCCTAACCATGTATACGTAACTCGACATGAAGGAGTGTTTTTGGCAATATATTTTGCATAGCTTTAAATAGATGTTTAGGGCATTTTCTTCTTATATCATGATTTATTGTATGAGTAACTAACCCTAATCTTTGTTGAATTTATAATTGCTATTTCATTTTGAGGTGTATAATTGAACCAGATCCTTGAGGCTAGAGATTACTAAAACTTTAGTAATATAAATGATAAACTCCAATAATAACAGAGTAAGATAAACAAATTAAAAGTCTAAGAGTCTTCAATCCTTAGCTAACTCAGTCTTCATTCCTTAGCTAACATCAGTCTGAATCAGAATCACTTCCATTTAGTTCACATTCAGCTGTAGCAAAAAGAACATAAAGGGTCAACTATATGTTTGATACACGCAAAGTTGAATCGATTTTTTGATCATGTTTAGTATAGACGGAAGGGTCAAAAACACACTTTAAGTATCCGGTTTTTCAAAAATCATATCTGAACCATGAGGGGTGTGAGTTTCCTACCTGAACTATCATCAACTATCGATTGCTCCCGTTTCCTACTTGAATGATGGGGATGTTTCAGATAGGAAAAGGGAACAACAGATAGTTAAGATGTGTGTTCAGGTATGAAACTTGAAAAATGGGGATATATTTTAGGTGTGCTTTTGACCATCGAACTTTTTAATATATAAACTTCAAGATTATTTAAAGTTTCAAAGGCAATTATTGTACTAACCTAGATCGTTGTAAGAACGAACATCCACAGGTTTGCTTCCTAGGTATTCTTGCTCTTCTTGAATACGCACAGTAGAAGCCATGAGTTTTGCTTTACAGTTCTGTAACTCGATTAGCTGTAGTGAGTAAATATCTGCGAATTCAATGGGGATCTTCACCAAATGAAAGCAATGTTTGATCACTAGATGCTCAAGAGCAGGGAAATGATCATTTGTGGCTTTCCAACGTGTCAGATTTGTACCTTCAATTAGCAAAAACTTCAATCGCGGAAATCCTCCTTCAATTGGATGCCATTTTAGGCCACGACAAGCATTTGGTTTCAGCTTCAACACCTCAAGATTAGGCCATTGGCCTACGATGTTCAACTCCTCCCATGATAGACGAGTTCCAACCAGTTTTAACTTCTTCAACTTTGTTGGAAAATGTATTGCACTTGGTACGTAAACAGGCAACTTATGGAATCTTGAACTCCAGTGACTTACCTGATAACGATCAACTTTAATACTCAATGTTTCTAGATGATGCAGATCAACAAGATGACGGAGGTCCATATCTTCTTCGTGCACTCTATAGTCATAAACGTGCCCCCGAATGCATAATTTCTTAATGTTTTGAAACCTTGAAAGGATATTCTTAGTGCAGCAATAAGGGATCAAGCCCGAAACGGACTGTATGTTCGACCAAAACAAGTTCCTCTCTCCATCAATGGATGAACTTGGAGGATCTGGCAAATAAAAGTTCCTGAGTTTCAGGTGCCTTAGTTCTGTTGTTTCCCAGATTAGTTCCGGGAACTTTATAAATGAGCTAACTGGCCCTCGAACGATGAATGTTTGTAGATTCAACAATTTGCGAAGTCCTCGAGGTATGCCAAAAGAGTTACGAGTCGAAAAGGATAGATACCTCAACAAAAAGAGACCAAGTATCTGCAGGGGAAAACTTGAGAAGTTCATTGAATTCAAGTCCAAGACTCTGATTAAATTCAAATGACCAAGCTCTAAATTTGAGTTATTAATGAGAGAAGGTGCAGCAAACAGGAAAATCGATCGAATTCTTCTCAAGGGACTATTATCATCATCGGTAGGCGTCCTAATCAACCAGAAGCAATGTTTATGTGCAAGGGACCTATAACCATGCTCATTCTGAACAACACCAGTTTGTTGCCTTTCTTGTATGCTAATCCATCGATATCCCACTTGAGGAACGTATTCTGTTTTATCATTTCTGATAAACAAAAAGTTTTGGCTTTGTGCTTCTCTCAAGCATAACTCATGGACCAGATCATGAATCCTACATGTCTTGACATTTCTTCCATCTGCACTTCTTTGGCTAACTAAAACTAGACATCTATCCACGAGATCCTGCAAACGGTTTTTAGCCTCTTCTTCAAAGTCACCCTCCAGCTTCAAGAACCCCTCCGCAATCCATAATCTCACCAATCTCTTCACTGAAATTTCACTGTCTTCCGGAAATATTCCAAAATACAGAAGGCATGCTTTTAATTCATTAGGCAAGTAGTTGTAACTCAATCCGAGCACGCGTAGACATTGTTCATTAGGATCTTTCGTTACAAATGACTTAATATTCTCAGCAACATTCTCCCATTCTTCTTTTGTTCTCTTTGATTTGGAGAGAAGACCAGCAACCACGACAATCGTTAGTGGTAACCCTTGACATTTGCTTGCAATTTTCTCCCCTATGGTCTCTAGTTCAGGTGTGAAGCTTTCATTTGCAAACGCCTTGCTCTTTAAAAGGTTCCAACTCTCATCTGCGTTCATGAGATTCATCTTCAAATGAAGATTACTTGAGCTAGCATAAATAGCTACCTCAGTATGACGGGTAGTCAACAATATTCGACTTCCATTATTATCAATTGGAAAACATTGTCTTGTGTCATCCCATGCTTTATAGCACCATATGTCGTCTATGACAATAAGATACCTCCTACATTTCAATTTTTTCTGTAGTAGGTCTGCTAGCTCTGCCTCATCTCTGCTGTAGACTTTGTCATCGATATTGATAATCGATTGAAGAAGACTTAGAAGAATTTCTTTCACATTGTATTCTTTACATATAGTAGCCCAAGCACGAACATCAAAACGAGACTGAATCGAAGGATGGTTGAAGACTTGTTTTGCTAAAGTTGTCTTACCAATGCCACCCATCCCAACAATTGGGATGACTTTTAGTTCATCTTTAGAGCCTCCTCTGAGTTCTTCAAGCATCCTTTCCTTTTCCTTATCACGTCCCACCATATTGTTCGAAACATCCAGATTAGGTAACATTTCCGAGCTACTTGTATCTCGTAACAAGGACAACGTCGATGCTTGGTTACCTTTATGATGTTGAATCTTTTTCGACTCTTTTTGAACACAGTCAATGTCCTTTGCTACTCGTTGCAAGCTCTCACGAAGTTCCTCATGTGCTTTTCCTCTCTGCATTTCATCTTCTGTTATCATTGCTTCTCTTAGTCCAAATTCAATTTTGTCTTCCGCGACATTAGCAAATCCTTTTATCCGCGCTTCCAGCTCTGTCATTGCCATATGATTATGGATTTGTTTCTCAGAGTTCTTGAGAAATGCTTCTATAGAACTGACTTTTTTATGCAGCTCTATGATTTCTTCTCTGAGGTCAAAAGTAAGGGATAACATTGGCGAATCGGACGTCAACAGCAGTTCCATTGTTCTTATAAGAGATGCTATACTTGCATAGGCCATTGGACTTAAAAGCTGCAAGTTTATAGGAGGACAATAGTGTTAACATAACACGATTTGTGAAGTTGTGAAAAGAACAACAACAATAATATACACGGTGTAATCCTACAAAGTGAGGTCTAAGGAGAATAAAGGGTACGTAGATCCTAAAAAAAATTAGTGCTGCACCAACTATATTTTTGAAAGATCCGAGCAACATAGGTTAGTAACAAAGTGGATTGGTATCACTACCTCAGAAGAGGATTATACACAGCTACAAAAGTTCATTTTTTTCTTCTATTTTTTCAAGTTCAATCAAATAGCAAGAGCGGATCTAGAGTACAACCTACAAGTTCACGAAACAACATATGCAGTGTAGTCCCACAGGAGTGAAATCTGAGTAAGGTAGAGTGTATACAGATCTTACCTTTATCTCAGAAGTGAAATAGAGAGGTTGTTTCCAATAGACTCGCGACTCAATAACAAAAAATTTACCAATCAACCAAGTTAAACATTGTTGTATATTAACTTAAGATTATGTACGATAAACTTCAAATTCTGAATTTGCGAGAAAATAGATTGGAGATATGGCATACCTGTAATGACGAAAAGTTGAAATGTTGTCTGCAATAAAAATTACCTACTAAGTTTATATAAAGATGTAAAAACAAAACAGTTGACTTTATAGAGATATGGGATAACAAGAGTTGACTTTATAGAGAGAGGTGATAACTCCAATAATTCCACCTAGGGAAGTGTGTCAATCAAGAAATTAGAAACCAAATATAGAATATTACAAAAATTTATATATTATGTTTTGACAAAAACGTGTAACGCACGTTCCCAAAAACTAGTAGTATATGTAAAATTACTTTAAAATTTTCACTGAACGTTTAACAAAGGAATACATGTATTTACTCCATAGTACATGGCTCATTTAGCAAGAACAAAATGTAATATTTTAACTGAAACAACATAAACCAGTATAGCCCCATGTAGAGCGTACACAGACTTTACCCTTAACTCAAAGTTACAGAGATTGTTTCGATAGAATCTCGACTAAAAAAAAACAGTTAGAGAAAATTACATCTCCTTGAAAGCCACATAATAATGCTAAAACATAGTAATGTAATGGAAAATTTAAAGTTTAAACAGTATCAACTATGATGAAATAAGCCTTCGACTTCAATCCTTCTGCTATTGAATTCCTTAGCTAATGTCGAAAGAAACACAAAAGGTACAATAACATACCCAGTGTTACCTCACAAGTGATGGACGCAAGGATAACAAGTTCAGTCAAACAACGTAACGTGTATAAGGTTACATAAGATAATACACATTGAAGAATAAGAAACTACGTGAACTCAGAGTAAACATGGTGTATCCAGTTGACATATAATACCCTTTCTAAAAACCTTTCACTTCTTCCAAAAGTTTCATTACTAATGGTTTCTATTGCTTTCAAAAGTTGTTCGCCGGTGGTGGAGAATGAGCACCGGAGAGAGATACAGCCGGATATCGGAGTTGCTCTCCGGCAGGACATCCTACGCCGGTGGAAGTGTACAGGTGTCACTCTCTCCATTGTTGAGTGTACATTTCTTCTTAAAAAAGTGACAATATACTCTACTCGTGAAATTACATCGAGTATGTTGTTGACAAATTAGAACGTTGGGAGGATGTTTCTTGCTTTAACTCTCATCCATGGCTGATATGACATTTTTAGGTGCATATTTGGTTATACAAATAGTCTTTACATGTGCTTGTTCTCAAAATGAAGCCCTTGTGCTTTTCTCGGCGTCAATGGCTACAGGTTCAACTGAACTCAGTACTTTTTACACGAATCATGAATAAATATATGTGACAGGGAAGGTAAAGTTTGAACAAATATCAAATTATGAAATCATAATTTCACAAGTACAATGACTTCAATACGGAGAATTATAGAAACTGAACTCATCAAGTTTAAATTCCGGATCTGCCTCTGAACCTGCCTCTACCTGCCTCCGAGTCTACTCGAGACCAGTGCATCTGAAGTCTACTCATCGAACGTACTCATAAATCCACCAAGAAATCCAGCACCATTGCAATCACCACACAATATATCTTTCTTACCTCTGCATTAAAACAAGTGCAAACATGAAAACATGGCATTGCAGCAATTTTGTTAACTTACTTAGGAACTGAATACCAATATGAAACCAAAAGGCACAAGTGATAGTACAAGTACCTGCACAGCCAACATAGTCCACCGGCTTTAAACCGTCCGTTGAAATGATCGACGGAGTTAACCCCAGCGCCTTTACATTGTGAGCACGCCACTGCACCTGAGAGCGATACAGTGTATAAGAAACAGAACATTGTGAACTAAATCCAAGTTGAAATTGGATTATTTCAGGTCTATGTAAGCATTATGAATGGATATCTACTTCTGATGAGTCGGAAATTTGGTATTATAACGAGTATAAGCAAGAAAAAGAACTGTAATAGCAAATATAAGCATGTAACACCATGGTGAAGAACCAGTAAGACTGCAGCATTAGCAGAAGTATTGGAACTAGACACTTTTCACTCAGACACACCGTAATTTTCACATAACTTTGATGAATAATTTTTGAGATAAGTTTGTAAAAGATGTGTACTCCGATTAAGCGGTCTACATCAAAAGGAAAACTACTACTACTTGATGCATATAATCATTTTAAGTAAAGAAATCCAAGCAAAAGAAACACTATGTTGATTAACATGTAACAGTTGTCTCACTAAGATCTAGTCAAAAATTAATCTCCGGAATATACCGCTCCCCTCATGAGAATTCATTGAACCTGTTTGCAACAGTTACATGCTAACTGATCATTGAATATCATTTCCATTGCTACAATGCAATGAGCATGAACAAAGCCACAATTACAATATGAAGAAATACTTTATTAGTCACTTGGTTTTCACAAATATATGAGCGTGTCTGTCGAGAGAAGTCCATTGAACCTTGTCATAAAAGACGAGTGAGAATTCAAAATCCACCAAATATGCATCAATCACTTACCATTTCCATCACACTTTTGACAGACTATGCTCTTTACTTTTGTTTCTTTATCACTGTCAGCGGCCTAAAAAAAAGAGTATAGTGTCAATCTCTGGAAAAATACAGCCAACTCAACGAAATAGAAGAAAATATGGTACAGTCAGATCATAAAAGAGGTGAAATGAAATTTCTGGAGCAAACTGAAGTTTCTATAGAACTCAAGTAAGCCCTTGTGATAACAGGTAGTATTAAGCTTAGGATTTTCATCTTTACGAACTTCCCTATTTGATTTATAACAAATTAGAAACGGCATAGAGATCCTTGTTGCGAATGAAATTATGCTGCTTGATCCCGTTTTACATAAAATAGAGTGATGAATTGAATATGATGATTGATGCAGATGCTACCACATATTATGTCAGATTTCCGTAAATCTTTACTTGGATGTAGCCATTGCTTATTGATTGAGCACATTTAATTGTTATTTTGCACTAATATCTATGCATGGAAGTCCAATATTACCTTCACTTCTACGACTCTTAAGTTACTCTTGGAGTTGAAGGTTACATCTTTGATCAATTGAATCTTTCTTCCAGCGCAATTCCCATTTCGATTAATTAAACCTGACAAGTATATAAAATCACAACTACATAAAAGGTTCTGAAAAGGATTGGATCTTTAATACCAAACACGTTTACATTTTACACAGAGTTGCAGACTCACAAACAAAAAATGACCCAAGAAAGCATGAAAAAGGCCTATGCAACAAGTAATTGACAAAATATATAACGACCCGTTAAGCAAAAATGCGGAAAAGAGTACAAGAATAAATAGAAACTGGAATTATAGCTGGTTTATTGACAGCATTAAAGGAAGCTAGAGGTGTGAAACATAAGAGAGTTTTCCGTTAAGAAATGAATTTCGTTGTTTCTAAAAAAGTTTTCAAATTAAAAATATCGAATCTTTTTTTGTTCCCATCCCCCACTTTGTGGAACAACACCGAGTATATTGTTGTTCACATCCGGTGTCATGTACCACTGTTTGGCCCGACTAAATCCTAATTCGCATCGGGAAGTCCCACTTTGAAAATAAAATGCTCCCTAACAAAGATGACTCCACACCTCGCGCTCGAACCCGAGAGGCCTCAAAACCTCTAAGTATGAAAGAACTCTTACCACTCCATGGCACCCCTTGTTGGTAAAAAAATTGAATTTTTAATACCAAACACATTATGTTCAAAATATAGTTGCAGACCCACAAACAAAACTCAACCAAGAAAACATGAAAAGCCATAGACATCAAGAATTGACAATAAAACATAGTTTCCACTAAGCAAAAGTACAGAAAAAATAGAACTTGGAAAATATATAAATGAAGCTAATTAGTTGTTTCTGAAAAGGTTCTCAATTCTCAAATTTGTTTTAAAAATTGAATCTTTTTTATTGGTTCTCACTAAGTCTTTCGGTATTCACATTGAAGCACGACTACTGGATTCATACTGCAAAGTCCCAAATTGGGTATAAAAGAGTTCCCTAACAAGAGTTACTTCATACCCCAAGCTCGAACCAAAACCTTCAATTAAGTACAACAGGGTGCTTATCCATGTTAGTAGAAAAAAAAATTGAATCTTTAATATCAAACATATAATGTTTGCAGACCCACAAACAAAATTGAACCAAGAAACCATAAAAAAGGCCTAAACATCAAGTAATTGACTAAAAACACAAACCCCCATAAACCAAAAAAGGCATAAAAATAAGCTCAAGAACAAAAAGAAATACACTATACATACATATATGTACCTGGTTTATTGAAAGAGTTCAATGAAGCTATAGGGGTGAAACACAGAGAATTTGCCATTAAAACAGTTGAATTTCACTTATTTTTTTTTGAATTTAATCAGAGAAAATTTGCCAAAATTGTGTTGGTTTTAACAAAAACATGTAACCTCAGGTTACTAGATAAGGCTCATTCATTTTTTTGGTTTCACCTTGTTCTAAATATCTAAATGGAAATGACTGATATAACCTTTATCCTAGTTGTATAAAATATCTAGCTCCGTCGTTCATTTTAGTTATCATGCTTACGACTTAGTGAAAATAGTTATTTCAAAATATTTCATATCGAACATATATTTGATAAATCGTCCGTCCTTCATTTTAGTTATCATGCTTACGACTTAATGAAAATAGTTATTTCAAAATATTTCATATCGAACATGTACCTGATAAATCGTCCTCTGAGTATAATTGAGTACAATTTTTTTTATATTTTGCTCTTGATAATAATTATTCTTAAAAAGCATTGTGATTACTAGAACATCTGTTATTTATTGAAGAGAGATTAAAATGAGAAATGTTTATTTAAAAGAGATTAACTTTTTAAATGTTTAAAGATAATAAATTAATAAAATGTGTGATAGCCAAAATAAATGCTTTTTTTTTCAAGGAGAGAGGGCAAATTAAAAAAATGTGACAAGTGGTTTAAAGGAAATAGGTTGTCATTTTAGAAGATTAAGATATATTAATAATTTTTTTCGTGGCTTAAATTATTTATCGTAATTTTTAAAAATTATTATTATAAATTGTTTAGCTATTTTGAAAAAATATACTATTATGGCTATGTATATTTTTCTTTTTATCTTAAGATTGTCAAAATCTTTCTTAATAAGAATAATATTTTAAAAAAAAATATATATATGTAAAATAAACCGTCATTAATTTAAGATGAAAAGAGTATTTATTTTCACCAGGACAGTTGTATCTAAAGACACAAGTAAGGCTAAGATAGTCAAAACTCTTCTTAATTAATATTTTTAAAAACCGCGAAAATACGATAAATAATTTGAAATAAGAAAATATTTATTTTACGTTCATCTTTATTTAATATTTATGAAAAGAGATTAATATAATGAAAAGAAATAATAAAATAAATAAATATGATAAATTAATATAATAAAAAGAAATATTATATTATAAGTAATAAATAAGGATGCAACCTCTTCAATGGGAAAGGTCAGCCAAGAGGCAGATGCAACATTTTTTGGGTTCAACTGAGTTATATAATTTTCACAAGAAACATAAATATATATGTTTTTTTCAGATTAAGTATAATACTCTATTAAATACTAAAAATTAAGAAAAAGATCAACTTAATTTATAAGATTATAATTTCCTTCGTGCTAAACATACAGAGTCTGTTTGGTGAGCGAGATAAAAATAAATAGTCTTGAGATAAAATTTTGGTGTCTTGTTTGATTGTCGTGTTTAGAATAATTTATCCAGCCATTTATACCAAAAGCGCATTCAGGAGGGGGTTACGGGTCCAGGTGAAATCATGTATAGTAGTGTTATATTTTTAAAAAATATTTAAATATAAATATGTGAACCAATAGTTGAAGTATCATAACGTGCAATTATGATTGGGAACACCTCACGAGGTTAGAAATTTGAATATTTTATTTATCTCGTTTTATTTTCCTTCTACTCTTTATGTAGTTTGGATAGGTAAAAATAATTCTGAACCTATAATTTAAATCTTCAATTATTTTTAGTGATAAAAACTTAAACATGAAATCG